GGTCCTAAGGGCATTATCTGAGCCACTGGTGATTCCTGAGCTGCTCCAGCGTTGGCACGTGTTGTTGGGATTGACTCTCAGGCACATCAGGAGGAAGTCCTTGCAGGCTGGAGAGAGAAAGAGAAGAAAGGTGAGGACCATCATCGGAATGTAAAATGAAAGGAGCAGATTTGTGTCTCTCGACATGTTTGTGTGTAATGTTCTTACATTTGGAGGTCTTGGGTGGGAGAGACTGAAATCCTTGAATGAACGCCAACGTGTTGAACCTTTTCCTCATGTGGAGGGCATTATACAGCACCACTCCGATCTGGAACACTGTGGTTGGTCCTGCTCTGTATCCATTTTCAAGGTAGAACTCTGGGGTCTTCAGATCTAGAAATTACAGACATAATAAAACAAAACAGTGAGGATGAGGAGCTTCGTTCCACGGTAAAAGTCACAGACGGGTTGGTGAAGAACGGGAGCAAGAGCCGGACATCTTACCGTAAAAGTCCTCGTAAGTCTGTCTTTTATCATCAAAACAGCTAACTCCAAAGCTGATGAGGCGAACCCGCGGGAAGTCCGAGCGCGTCTCAATCAGCATGTTCTCCGCCTTTATGTCCCGGTGGAAAACGTTCTTGCTCTCCAGATCGAGCGCTGCATCGACCAGCTGCCTCAGGATGATCTAACGGACAAAAAGAGAGAGACAAGGGATCAGAGGAAGATGCGTCGACACGCTTTCATCGCTGTGCCTCTGAGCTGATCACAGCGCCTCACCTTGACGTCTTCTTCATTCTTCACATAGAATTTATTGTATGGGAGATAGTTATTATAATTCTCAGCGGGCATCGGCCTCTCCATCACCAGCACGAGCTCCCCCACCAACTGGTACCAGTCCAGCAGGGACACGTGTGACGATGTCCCATCCGATTCGGCCGCCAGCTTCAACATGACGGCGACCTCTGTGGGGATCACGTTCCCTTTGTCGTCCTGTAACGTCACGCGAGAGTTGAGGATCAGAGCGGTTCCTCCGTGATGCATTCACAGACTGAGTTTCCAACACAGAACATTCTGACAGTAGAAGGCGTTGCTCACTCACCACATGTGTGCAGTAGACGTTTTCATTTCTGATATGTTTGATGGCAACCTACGAGATGGAAACAAGACTTTTGTTAGAGAGTGTGTGTTTCTGTGTGTGTTTGGGAACGTGTGTGTAACGCTTACGGGTACGTTGTCGTCTCTGCGGAGGCCGGCATACACAGATGCACGTCCTCTTGTCCCGATGTGATCCAGTTCTATATATTTGGCCTCAAACTCTCCTGCAGAAACAAACATGTTGTTTCAAAGCATTTGTGAGTGACAGCGAATATATATGTAAACTAAACTCTACCCATCCTACGATGGTATTACCAATTTTAACTTGACACTGAACGTAATAAAGCCTAAAACCACTGACTTTGTTTGGTTTCCTCCTCGCCGTCCTTGTCGTCCTCGTCGTCCTCGCTGTCCTCGCCGTCCTCGTCGTCCTCGTCGTCCAGCCTCCTCTTCCTCTTCTTCCTCGGTCCGTCCACAGAGGCGTTGTCGCATCCTACAGACGAGCAAAAAAAACAACAACAAAAAGACAGTGTGTCTTTTCTGCTCGGCTAAATCTTCTTTAAAGGAATATTTTATCATTTCTAGCAGATCCTCCCAGAAATTCTCAATATGGGGGAAATACCCTGACAACTACAGTAGGAATCAGAGGTTTACTTAGAGGTTTACTTAAGGTACCCAGCCTTCTCCAGCAAGTCCGATAAACCATCAGCACCAGTTAATGCAGACGTCTGTCTGGATTCCTCACTTACCTCGAGCTCTTTTGCGGTGGCCGAAAAACGGAAAATACGATAGCCATCCTCCTGCAGACCCAAACATGCTGTTTTAATACATTTGTGAGTGACAGCGACTTTATGTCAACTAAACTCTACCCATCCTACGATGGTATTACCAATTCTAATTTGACACTGAACGTAATAAAGCCTAAAACTACTGACTTTGTTTGGCCTCCTCCTCGCTGTGCTCGCTGTCTTCGCTGTCCTCGGTGACCAGCCTCCTCTTCCTCTTCCTCATTGGTCCGCCCTCAGCAGCGGTGACCTTCCTCTTGACACCTCTCCTGCCAACGACTACAGACAAGCAAAACGACATTGACAACAAGACAGCGTGTCTTTTCTGCTCGGCTAAATCTTCTTTAAAGGAATATTTGATCATTTCTACCAGATCCTCCCAAAAATGCCCAATATGGGAGAAATAACCTAACAACTCTGCCGAATAATACTTCTAAATTTCATGTGTGCCCCCTCGATTTACAAATTAACTTCACATACGTGTCTTCTCAATATTGCCCAACATCGTCCCTTGGTTGTTTTCTATTTTAACTTGCTGGGATTACAATGTCGGCATGAGTTTTTTAATAAGGGGAATATTATGGTCTCAGGTTTTAACATATCAGTAAAACAAATCACGAAACCACTGTTGAAATAATATGAGAGAGATATTTAAAATCCTGAGGAAAAACCAATGCATCTGAAAATGTATTATTAGAAGGAAGAGGGGATTGAAGTTTATCTAGATAAATACACCAAATGTTTATTGAACTGATGATGGGAAGCATCTCCAGCAGCAGTTTCACAGATTGGCTTACCTGTGTCTGCTGAGGCGGACGTTGAATCAACGTGAGAGTGGTCGAGGGCCCCTCGAGCCTCTTCTCCTTGTGTATCCTCATCTAGATGAGCAAAAACAGAAAGGAACATTCATTTTGTAGTGAACTAAAGTCACCAACTGCATTAAAACTGTCTTCTTTTATCTTTTCACGCCTCAGACGCAAAAGAAACAGTAAGAAAAAGGTCCCGACAGTAGGAACCAGAGGTTTACTCAGAGGTTTACTCAAGGTACCCAGCCTTCTCCAGCTGACAAGTCCAATAAACGCTCAACACCAGTTAACGCAGACGTCTGTCTGGATTCCTCACTTACCTCGAGCTCTTTTGGTTGCGGGTACGTTGTCGGCTTTGTGGTGGCCGAAAAACGCAGATAGACGTGCCCACATTGCAAAAACTTCTGTGTGTGTGTGCAGTTCCAAGGCTGGCAACTAACTGAATTTGCCAGCGTGTATTCTTATGCTGCGGAGAACAGAACATGGAACATGGAACTTGGAACTTGGAACTTGGAACATGGAACATGGAACATGGAACATGGAACATGGAACATGGAAGGTGGAAACGTTCTTTCGCCCGAGGTGGTTTCTCTGGAGTCACAGTGAGGCGTTCTGGAATATGCAAATTACCATTTAGAGTGAATGTGTGATTTGTCGTGAAAAGCAGGCTTATTGCAGCCATCAATACTGATAAAACGTGAGATTTTGTGAGAATTGAGAGATGGCCCATACACATCCACACTTATTTGGTTTTATTTTGCACATGTTGCACATTCACTGCAATTCAGGTTAATTACAACCCCAATAAACTATTTTCGCCCAAATATTTGTTCTTTTTTGCACAGATAAAACGTACAATATGGTTTGTATATTTGATTTGTTTTTGGCTGATGGAGCAATCTGATTATTTGTAAGTGATTGCAATTTTGCATGAACATCCAGTGCAGATATCCAAAGTACTCATATTATTGGTCCAAATCCGAGGCAAATTGTCCATTAAAAATATTCTGGATCAGTCAGGTTCGTGCAAACAATAGACAAACAAGTACACAAGTGCGAAAGACAACAATAAAGTGTCCAGTGTATTAGGTATTAAATATAGAGCAGAGACGGTATGAAAAGAAATTGCAAAAAATGTCCTTTGATTCCAAGAAGGGGGAGACAGCGTTAGCATAGCCCAAATGCTGACGGTAAGTTGCAGTTTTTGTGGCGAGAGGTGACTCATGCATTCATCTTTTTGTCTTCTATTTTACATGACTGAAGTATGCGGGATGGCTAACTAAGAGGAGAAAACGATTGATCTCTGTTTCCTCCTTTTTTTTGCCCCCCCAAGTAATTTCCACTTCAGATGTTGGACCACTGATCTCCGGTTTCAGCAGTGTGAATGCACCTGTTTCCAATCACTCACTCCATCGGCAGCCTTTCAGCCTCGATCTTTTGGTTCCAACCATTCGAGAGGATGCAATCTGATTTAAAAGTATTGCCATAAAGTTCTGGCCTTCATTGATCGCTATGTTTCTGTATATTAAGAAGGAACTTCACCCTCTGACGTGACATTTGTCATAAAATAAAGACCCTAATTCTTCATATTTTTTGTGTGTTTTTGGAAGTTTGACTGATTACTCAAGTTTAGAAATAAAACAAAGATGTATATATTTGAGGGTCATATTGCCCCCAATGGCCCCAAATAAGACACAGTTCTTTTAAAAATGTGTTTCTGTATGTGTGGTGGCGTGGTGTGGTTAGCTCAGCTGCAGAGCGGCGAGCGGGGGAGTGGTTCAGGGAACGGTCCCAGCAGGTAGTTAACAAGTACATCTGAACAACATCCTGACTGATTGTCTCCCCTGTGAAATCAGTGAGCAGGACTTGGAGAAAGGAGAGACTGGAGCGGACGCTCTGGGGCAAGGCCGAAGAGTGGAGCACTGAAGCCACAAAAGTATATTGTTAAGTAGACCCGTGCATCCTTCAACGCACCCGGCGGTAGTAGCTCCATCACGGTTACAGTATGTTAAGAAGGAACTTTACCCTCTGACCTGACATTTGTCATAAAATAAAGACATCTTTTTTGTGTGTTTTTGAAAGTTTAATTGATTGAAGATCTTTATTGTCATGTGTACAAATTATATTACTCTGTTCAACCAAATTCTCATGTTGCTTTGACCTCCTTCCACGAAAAAAAAGAATTTACACAGCCTCTTGCAGGTTTTCCAGAAACTCCTCTATTTCTCTGCACTTTGTGTTCCTGCCTTTATTTTTAATCTTCACCAGAGCTTTAATGCTGCTCTCACGATAGAAGGAATTAATCGGTATCTTTGCTGCCTTCATGTTATATTCTATTGACTTGTTGTAATCTTTCAGATCAAAGAAAAGATGTTTAGCGTAGTGGTTGTAAAGCACCTGTTTCTCTGCAGGTTCCAGCTTCCTTTCTAGCAGTTGTTGGAACAAATGTTTGGCTTCATCCTGTCTGCGATTGGACTTTGAATATATATTTGCGAGGTCCATTTCCTCCACAAGTGCAGAATCAGGGTAAAGAGAAATCACCTCCTTGTGGAGAATGACTGCTTTGTCAACCATGCGCTCATCGACGCCACTGTCGCTGAAAAAAACAATCTTCCATTTGAGAGTTAGTGCAGCAAATTTCTTGAGATAACGCTGATCTGGATTGTTTTCCACCGCCTTTGCTGCCAAAAGAATGGCCTCATCAATCAATCTACAGGTTCTGTAAACCCTAAGTATTGCTCTCATCTCACTGTAGCTGCTGACGGGGTTTATTGAAACCCTTTCGGCTAACTCACGTGCTTCGTCTGCAACGTCTTGCCTCTTCGTTGCACGTATCTGAATGTCGTAAGCAGCGAGGTACAAGTTCTCTGGATCCTGTTCCTTGGCGTCTCGCATTTTATCCAAGATGTCAGCCTCCATCTCTGGGCTAACAAAATTACTCGCTAACCCGATGACGTGACTGGTGTTCCACTCCACCATGTCTGGCTGCATCTTGATGGCTTTCTGGAAGTAATCTGACACCAGCTCTCGTTCTATGTCGAGGATCATCAGGGTCCAGGCTTTTTCAGCGTAGAGCTCTGCATGGAGCTCGTCCTCTGATGGAGTTGGGTATTTCTTCTTTAGGGCGTCAACCTTTGAAAGGTAAGCCTCGCTCTCTGCTTGGTCTCCCAGGAGGTGGTGCAGCCAAGCCAGGTTCCCGTAATTCACCACCAACCAGGGACCTTCACCTGCCCTTCTCATCTGGCCGAAGGCCTCTGCAGCCTGGAGGAAGAAACTCAGGGCGTCTTCGGTGGAGCCCAGCTTGCACTGAATGAAGCCCCTCAGGTTGTAGATGTGACCCAGCCAGCTGTTTCCATCCTCCGTGCCGATGTCCACCAGCTTGTCGCGGTGAAGTACAAGGTTGATCTTGCTGGGCTCCAGAATCCAGGTAAAATGACACTGCAGGGCCTCCAGTTTGGACCTCAGTGTTGTTTGACTCTGACCAGCACTGATGTGGAATAAGAATGACAAATATTTAAATATATCACCGGTTAATATAATATCCTCAAAAGCATGCTGTATTATCACCATTTTATATTGAGGAAGGGAGGAAGAAAAAAATGGAGTTAGCAGTGTTGAATGCTGTAGGAAGCAAACAAACAACCAGAAAAAGTATGGTAGTGTCAGTAATTGAAGAAGTACAAGCACGACTAGTGGTAATAATGATATTATGTATGATATTATATATTTTTTTATTTTTATATTTTTTTTAAAAAATGTTAATACCTTGGTGTGAAAAGTTAAATGATGTTTTGTCTTATTACGTTATTATTAATGAGGTTAAGTTAAGGAAGCGAGCGGTTTCAGAATTGACCACAAGAAGGAGCCAGAGAGAGAGAACAAGTCCAACAGGTAACAGACTGGGCGGGGCTACTGTTGGGATTACAGCCAATCGCTGAAGGCTGTAAAGGGAACGTGAACACCCCCAGACACAAAGAGGCCTGCTTCTGGCAAACAAAGCCACAGGCTGAATTCCAATAGTCCTTTTGGCTTCAAAGGTTCCTCACTGAGTGAAATAAGATGGAAGTAGTGTAAGTGGACGTAATAAGAGCTGTTTGAATTCTCTAATGTTAAGGGAAGGAGCTTCAATGCTTCCCTGAACCTGGTCGTTTATGTTGTCTGCATGACTCAGCTTGCTTCTGTTAGTTATTAAACCCTTTTTCATTTTAAACTTAAGCCGGCTTGTTCTTTTTACTTTGCACCACCAGCTGGAGGCGACGGGAATAGTGTTCTTAGAGAGGTTCAATCCCCACAGTAGGGAGAGGAAAGTATACGTGAAGAAGGACATCTTAAAAGAGAAACAGACAAACCGACAAAGGAAGCCAAATGAGTGGACGAGTGAGGAATGAAGGCAATGGGACAGTGGGAGGAAGGAATGGATAAAAAAGAGGCATAAGAATCGACAAAAGATAAAATAATGGCAAGACAAAAACAAAGGCTGAAATAAAACCCGAGGTGAGCAGAGTATGAAATGAATATTATTAAAGAAAGGTAGTAGGAAGTTTGAGGATGGAAGAAAAGGTGTGGCAGGCAAGAGAAATTAAGGATTAACCGGGGTAGGAAGTAGGAGTCAAGTAAGTAAGAAAGGAAAGACAAAATAAGGATTTATGGGTAGGAAGTAGGAGTCAAGTAGGTAAGAAAGGAAACTAGTGAAATGGTGTGAGCCAAGACAAATGGAGTAAGAAAAAATACAATTTAGAGAAAACAACTGATAAGTAATACTTGTTAAGAATAAGTGAAATATTTTTTCTTGAATCCCTTTGATAGTGTCTAAAAAAACGGATAAATGAAACACCGGAGAGATCAACGAAGTAAAGACAGAAATTTGGGAATATAGCAAGGAACTACTAATGAACTTAATGACAATATGTTTGGGCTCTAGGACACAATGATACGATATTAAATCAATAAAATAGAAACAATTGCTCACCTCATCATTCAGCTGTTTCAACAAGTTAGTGTGGCTGGTTCTTGCTGTTGATGCTGCTTTGGCTTCTCTGGTGTAAGTGATAAGATGTTGGCCACGCAGCTTTATAGGTTCACCGTCCCGTTGTAGCGTGTAGTTCAGGTGTGACATTTTAACAAACGGTCCTTCGCTTTCGTTTCTCAGGAATGGAAGCCTACGAACACGTGTGATTACAATCCTAAAACATAAGTCATCAAAAGCTGAGACTATATTTTAGGAAGATCTTTAGTGAATATAAAAAAAAAACGATTCCACATCGTTGTGACACCTTTGAATCTTCACATGAACATCTTTAAGTATTGAAATCTGTCTTTGAATTCTCCTTAGTTTTGGGAATAAATGACACAGCCGAGTCCGCTGGCTACCTGCGGGGTTTGTGTGCTCATAAAAACCAACTTTATTAATGATACGTAGAGCTTGTTTTTGTAACAAGTGTGTTTATGAGTGTTTTATAGGTTGACCCCCACAACTTCACACAATATAACACAGTATGATATACACAGAAGTGATAGTGATTTTGTATCACTATTGACTTGTACAATTAATACAAATAAATATATTGTCTCCGTGTTACTTTATGATTGATTCCTACGCAGAGGAATTTATTCTCCTTTAATTTTATCTTGACAGATTTTTAATTCAATATCCCGATCCATTTTTTTGGGATTTCCAAAGACCATGAATGTTGTTTTCTTTGTGTTAAGACATGATGCATTAACATCAAACCAAGACTTGACTCAAGACAAGACTCCCAGCTTCATATGTTCACAGACCTGTTGAAGCGGATAGTTGAGGAGCGGCACTTTAACAAAAGCTCCTCGGCTTTTGTTTCTCAGTAATGGAAGCCTACAAACACATATGATTACAATCCCAAAACATAAGGCATCAAAAGTTGAGACTATATTTTCTCACACCCTATAAATTGAAGAAACAACAAGATTTTAAGAACTTTTATTTTTCCCTGTGGAGCAATTTGTTATTGAAGTACACAAGAGCCAAACAAAAACATCCATCAGACCTTTGAAAATCAAACCCTTAGTTGGCTCAGCGACCTGAAAAGATGATTAAACATTCAAAGTCAATTATTTTACAGGAAGGTGCTCTACCTGCAAAATCATCTCAAAATGTAAAAACCTAAATGGTTAATGCACAGATCTACTGTGTAGGAGGTCTTTTTAGCTCTCTTATAGTTAGCAGATTTGGGATATCTCCTTTTAGTTGTATATTCATGCAGCCTTCTGGAAGCTCCAGAGTGAATCTTTCCTATTCGTTCTATCTAATCTCATCAGTTCAGGAGCTTTACAAAGGTCTTAAATACAACTAGACAGATTTCTTCGTTTTTCATTGGAATTTATTTAAAATTACCTTCCTTGTTTGTATGTTGTTATGGTGATAGCACAGATTCAAGATTGGACTGGAGTTTCAATACCAAATACTTTATTGAAGAACATAAGCCATAAGTTACTGAATACTGTCTAAACACAAAGAGCCCAATAATACATGTTTGTCAGTCTCAATCTTTTTGTTACAACCCTTCCAGAGGAAAAAAATCTAATATAAAGTTATTTTCATGAAGTTCTGGCCTTCATCGATCCCTTTGGGATCTGTGCAAAACTAAAACATATGTTTCTGTATGTTAAGAAGGAACTTCACCCTCTGACCTAATTTATCTTTTGGAAAATAATATAATTAAATAGATATGCTCCAATGATTTTGTCAATAAAGAAATAATTCATCTTAACTTTCATATATGGTTCAGCCTTTCATACAAATTGCTAGATCTTTTATATTTTCTTCCATTAACTGGACTGTAGTGTAAAGTTTTAAAGATGGGGTAACTGCTCGATGCATAGCGTAATTTTCATAGACAAGCAAAAAAAACCCCCAACAATATTACACCTATGGGTTGGGTGATACTGCCGTTTGGACCAACCGACCATCACAAAACCTTTTTAGAACTAGTGTTAAAAACACTATGGCTCTTTCAGGTTTTCCAGAAACTCCTCTACCTCTCTCCACATTGAGTCCCTGTGCCGCTCTACAACCTCCACCAGAATCTTAATGCTGTTCCTACGGAAGGAGGATTGATGCGGTATGGTCGCCACCTTCATGTGATACCTTATTGCCCTTTGGTACTCCCTTCGATCGCACTTTGAATATTTTGCGTAGTTGTTGTAAAGCAGCTGTTTCTCTGGAGGTTCCATCTCACTTTTTAGCAGTTCCTGGTAGATTTGCTCAGCTTCATCCTTGCTGTGATTGGACTTTGCGTGTATATTCGCGAGGTCTACTTTCTTCATAAGTGAACAATGAGGGTATAGAAAAATCACCTCCTTAAGGAGACTGATGGCTCTGTCCAGCGTCCTCTGATCTGGTCGACTGTAGCTAGAATAAATCAACCATTTATAGTAGAGTGCGGCACATCTCTTCAAATAGCGCTCATCTGGATGATGTTGCAGAGCCTCCTCTGACAGATCAACGGCCTCATCAATTGATAGATGGTTTCTATAAATCCTTAGTAACCCTTTTAGACCACTGTAGCTACTGACGGGGTTTCTCAAAACCTTTCTAGCCAACTGGCGTGCTTCATCTTCAATTATTTCCCCTTTCCTAGCACGTTCCTCAAGGTAGTAAACTGCAAGGCGCAAGTTCTCCGGATCCTTTTCCTGGGCGAGCCTTATTTTCTCTAAGATGTCATCTTCTAACCATGAGTTGCTGCACAGTACGTGACTGGTGTTCCACTCCACCATGTCTGGCTGCATCTGGATGGCTTTCTGGAAGTATTCTGACACCAGCTCTCCTTTTGTGCCGAAATTCATCAGGGTCCAGGCTTTTTCAGCGTAGAGCTCTGCATGGAGCTCGTCCTCCGATGGAGTTGGGTATTTCTTTTTTATTGCTTCAACCTTTGAAAGGTAAGCCTCGCTCTCTGCTTGGTCTCCCAGGAGGTGGTGCAGCCAAGCCAGGTTCCCGTAATTCACCACCAACCAGGGACCTTCACCTGCCCTTCTCATCTGGCCGAAGGCCTCTGCAGCCTGGAGGAAGAAACTCAGGGCGTCTTCAGTGGAGCCCAGCTTGCACTGAATGAAGCCCCTCAGGTTGTAGATGTGACCCAGCCAGCTGTTTCCATCCTCCGTCCCGATGTCCACCAGCTTGTCCCTTAAATGTAAAAGTTTGTTCTTGCTGTATTCCAGAATCCAGGTAAAGTGGCACTGCAGGGCCTCCAGTTTGGACCCCAAGGTTGTTTCACTCTGATCAGCACTGAATTAAAAATGATAGATATTAAACAGAAGAAATAGAGACAGACAGAGGGTAATGGGGATGAGTTAACAAAATGGTTGTCACAATGTGTATTCTAGATTTGAACTAAGGTACAAAAAGTCTTCTTACAAAACACTGCACTTTGCTTCCTCCATCAGACACACACACACCAAAGCATGACATCTGTTGCAATCAATGGGACAGTAAAATGAAAACCATATTCGGAATGGCAACCCGCACAACAGTCTGAGCCTCAGCACTACAAATGGACCTCAGGAGATGTAGGCGACGTCACCTCTTTGTGGCTAGTAGCAACGGTCTGCCCGGACTACACCCATCTTTGAACTCCGCCTTCATTTTTATCTTAACTACCAAAATGGGCCACCGGCGTAAAAAGTATCCAGAAAGAGGATAACGGCCCCCTTGCCCCGATTCTTTGACCACGGACATCATTGAACTCAACCTTAATTTGGATCTAAGTGACACATCTGTTATGGGAACACATCTTAGAGTTACGAAGCTATCGTAGTTACAAAATCTGCCATGGACAGAGATAATTAAACAATGCGGTCTCCAGGATTACATTTTGCCCCAATGACACAAACATGGACTCAAAATGTAAAATATGTACAAAAGGTACGTTTGCAACTGGTTATGAAATGTAGAAGTAATGTCCAACTTCTGCTTTCTGATAGTGTTGCGCACGCGGCCTTAAATGTTGACGATGATGGGAAAGCCAATCGTGGAGGCGGGGCTATTGCATATGGAGTCTGGGGTTATGTGGTAACACGCTTTACTTTTTTTTTCCCAGTAATGGAAACCTACAGCCTCATCTGCTCAAACTAAAACGTGACTTGTCAAGTTTTGTGATTCTTTTTTTCTCTTAAGGGAGCAGTGCTGAATATTAAGAAATGGAATACAATAGGAACATTTATGTTTTCATCAGTGTTTAATGGCCTGGCATTAAGAATGGTTTTATTTAGCTCATAAAAAGCCTTTTAAATCTAATCAAGGAATGGCTCGTTTCCACCATCTTGCACTGCTACGTTTGTAACGCAGCTCAGAATGGACAGTGGCTCTGAGTTCTTCCAACTACGAACACACACAGTAACAAACGCACATACGATGTGTCAGTGAGCAGAGTTCTTTGGGACGGGGCCAGCTGGAGACGACTCTATTTGACTGCAACTTTGCTCGTTACTGCATTAAAACATTCACAAGCAAAAGGCCAATACTTTACTAATAAATCTGTTTAACAAACATGTAAACAAAAGTGAAACCTCATTCAATGTGCAGCTGTCATCTACCACTCTGCGTCTACATACACATTCTCTACTGGCTGACACACACAGAGCAGCAAGTATATATACTTTTGAGTATAGGACTCCCTGCTAGAGAAAACATGTGTTGTGTTTTTGTGCTGCTACGCTGGTGACCAGCATTCAATGTAAAGAAACACAGCCAAGCTAGCCGACACTAAGCCGCAATACGGCCTAGTCCGCTGGCTACCTGGGGGGTTTGTGTGCTCATAAAAACAAAATTTATTAATGATACTTGGGGCTTGTTTTTGTAACAAGAGTGTTTATGAGTGTTTTATAGGTTGATCCCCATACCTTCGCACAATATAACACAGTATGATATACACAGAAGTGATAGTGATTTTGTATCGCTATTGAGTTGTACCATTAATAAAAATCTGTATATTGTATTCATGTTACGTTATGATTGATCCCTATGCAAAGGAATTTATTCTCAAAAACTCGTTTACTTTTATCTTGACAGATTTTTAATTCAATATCCGATTCCAATTCTTTTTGATTTCCCCCCCAAAGAATGCGTGGTTACATCCTTGATCATGCAACACTGGCTTGAGTATTCGAAACCAAACATGCCAGATCTGCCCAACCTTCTCATATTATTAGAATGTCAAGATGTCACGTGTATTATTTGAAACACAGTCACAAGTTTGTACCTGCATCATGACGCTATGCTGCCCGCAGCGGTTTGGTGTTCCTAAAGATAATAATAAATATCGCATTTTCACAATCTCTCATTTTTCGCTTATGAGCTTGTCATTACCAAGTGCCTTCATCATTATAAGTATTTGATTGTAAAAAGAGATGTCATATTCGCTTTAGAAAGATACATTCTCACATGCTCAACTACTTTAGTGTGGCTGGTTCTTGCTGTTGATGCTGCTTCGGCTTCTCTGGTGTAAGTCCAACAGGTAACAGACTGGGCGGGGCTACTGTTGGGATTAAAGCCAATCGCTGAAGGCTGTAAAGGGAATGTGAACACCCCCAGACACAAAGAGGCCTACTTCTGGCAAACAAAGCCACAGGCTGAATTCCAATAGTCCTTTTGGCTTCAAAGATTTCATACTGAGTGAAATTAGATGGAAGTAGTGTAAGTGGATGTAATAGGAGCTGTTTGAATTATCTAATGTTAAAGAAAGGAGCTTCAATGCTTCCCTGAACCTGGTTGTTTATGTTGTCTGCATGACTCAGCTTGCTTCTGTTAGTTATCAAACCCTTTTTCATTTTAAACTTAAGCCGGCTTGTTCTTTTTACTTTGCACCACCGGCTGGAGGTGAAGGGAATAGTGTTCTTAGAGAGGTTCAATCCCCACAGTAGGGAGAGGAAAGTATACGTGAAGAAGGACATCTTAAAAGAGAATCAGACAAACCGACAAAGGAAGCCAAATGAGTGGACGAGTGAGAAATGAAGGCAATGGGACAGTGTGAGGAAGGAATGGATAAAAAAGAGGCATAAGAATCGACAAAATATAAAATAACGGCAAGACAAAAACATGAACATGAATGAAATCAATATTATTAAAGAAAGGTAGTAGGAAGTTTGAGGATGGAAGAATAAAGGTGTGGCAGGCAAGAGAAATTAAGGATTAACCGGGTAGGAAGTAGGATTCAAGTAAGTAAGAAAGGAAAGACAAAATAAGGATTTAAGGGGTAGGAAGAAGGAGTCAAGTAAGTAAGAAAGGAAACTAGTGAAATGGTGTGAGCCAAGACAAATGGAGTAAGAAAAAATACGAAAGATTCCCTTTAATAGTGTCTAAAAAAACAGGATAAATGAAACACTGGAGAGATCAACGAAGTAAAGACAGAAATTTGGGAATATAGCAAGGAACTACTAATGAACTTAATGACAATATGTTTGGGCTCTAGGACACAATGATACGATATTAAATCAATAAAATAGAAACAATTGCTCACCTCATCATTCAGCTGTTTCAACAAGTTAGTGTGGCTGGTTCTTGCTGTTGATGCTGCTTCGGCTTCTCTGGTGTAAGTGATAAGATGTTGGCCACGCAGCTTTATAGGTTCACCGTCCCGTTGTAGCGTGTAGTTCAGGTGTGACACTTTAACAAACGGTCCTTGGCTTTTGTTTCTCAGGAATGGAAGCCTACGAACACGTGTGATTACAATCCTAAAACATAAGTCATCAAAAGCTGAGACTATATTTTAGGAAGATCTTTAGTGAAGATTAACAAAAAAACGATTCCACATCTTCATACCTGGGACCTTTTCGTCAAATGGAAATATTGACAAGTTGTGACACCTTTGAATCTTTACATGAACATCTTTACGTATTGAAATCTGTCTTTGAATTCTCCTTAGTTTTGGGGGAATAAATGACACAGCCGAGTCCGCTGGCTACCTGGGGGGGTTTGTGTGCTCATGAAAACCAACTTTATTAATGATACGTGGGGCTTGTTTTTGTAACAAGGGTGTTTATGAGTGTTTTATAGGTTGACCCCCAAACCTTCACACAATATGACACAGTATGATATACACAGAAGTAATAGTGATTTAGTATCGCTATTGAGTTGTACAATTAATAAAAATCAATATATTGTATTCATGTTACTTTATGATTGATCCCTACGCGAAGGAATTTATTCTCAAAAACTCCTTTCATTTTATATTGACAGATTTTTAATTCAATATCCGATTCCAATTCTTTTTGATTTCCAAAGAGCATGAATGTTATTTTCTTTATGTTAAGACATGATGCATTAACATCAAACCAAGACTTGATCATGAGACACGACCCCCCCAAAGAATGCGTGGTTACATCCTTGATCATGCAACACATGGCTTGAGTATTCGGAACCAAACATGCCAGATCTGCCCAACCTTCTCATATTATTAGAATGTCAAGATGTCACGTGTATTATTTTAAACACAGTCACAAGTTTGTAGATTCCTGACCAGGCAGTCCGACGTGTTTCGGTAAGGACTATTACCATGGCTACCTGGAGACACCTGCATCATGACGCTATGCTGCCTGCAGCGGATTGGTGTTCCTAAAGATAATAATAAAAATCGCATTTTCACAATCTCTCATTTGTCGCTTATGGGCTTGTCATTACCAAGTGCCTTCATCATTATAAGTATTTGATTGTAAAAAGAGGTGTCATATTCACTTTACAAAGATACATTCTCACATGCTCAACTACTTTAGTGTGGCTGGTTCTTGCTGTTGATGCTGCATTGGCTTCTCTGGTGTAAGTGATACGATTTTGGCCACGCAGCTTTATATGTTCACAGACCTGTTGAAGCGGATAGTTGAGGAGCGGCACTTTAACAAAAGCTCCTCGGCTTTTGTTTCTCAGTAATGGAAGCCTACAAACACATATGATTACAATCCTAAAACATAAGGCATAAAAAGTTGAGAGTATGTTTTCTCACACTCTATAAATAGAAGAAACAACAAGATGTTAAGAACTTTTATTTTTCCCTGTGGCGCAATTTGTTATTGAAGTACACAAGAGCCAAACAAAAACATCCATCAGACCTTTGAAAATCAAACCCTTAGTTGGCTCAGCGACCTGAAAAGATGATTAAACATTCAAAGTCAATTATTTTACAGGAAGGTGCTCTACCTGCAAAATCATCTCAAAATGTAAAAACCTAAATGGTTAATGCACAGATCTACTGTGTAGGAGGTCTTTTTAGCTCTCTTATAGTTAGCAGATTTGGGATATCTCCTTTTAGTTGTATATTCATGCAGCCTTCTGGAAGCTCCAGAGTGAATCTTTCCTATTCGTTCTATCTAATCTCATCAGTTCAGGAGTTTTGCAAAGGTCTTAAATACAACTAGACAGACTTCAACTTAGAGGTTTTCGTTTTTCTTTGGTTTGGTTTGAAAATGACCTTCCTTGTTTGTATGTTGTTATGGTGATAGCACAGATTCAAGACTGGACTGGAGTTTCAATACCAAATACTTCATTGAAGAACATAAGCCATAAGTTACTGAATACTGTCTAAACACAAAGAGCCCAATAATACATGTTTTTCAGCCTCAATCTTTTTGTTACAACCCTTCCAGAGGAAAAAATCTAATACGAGGTTATTTTCATGAAGTTCTGGCCTTCATCGATCCCTTTGGGATCTGTGCAAAACTAAAACATATGTTTCTGTATGTTAAGAAGGAACTTCACCCTCTGACCTGACATTTGTCAGAAAAAAAAGACCCTAATTTGTCATCTTTTTTGTGTGTTTTTGGAAGTAGATCGATTCCTGCGGAGAAGATTATCACCTACAACTTGTGATTGATGCTCCAGGTATTTTATTTAAAAGTTACATTTAGTTGAAATAACACATATTACAGCTCATTCAGTTTGCATAATTTATCTTTTGGAAAATAATATAATTAAATAGATATGCTCCAATGATTTTGTCAATAAAGAAATAATTCATCTTAACTTTCATATATGGTTCAGCCTTTCATACAAATTGCTAGATCTTTTATATTTTCTTCCATTAACTGGACTGTAGTGTAAAGTTTTAAAGATGGGGTAACTGCTCGATGCATAGCGTAATTTTCATAGACAAGCAAAAAAAAAACCCAACAATATTACACCTATGGGTTGGGTGATACTGCCGTTTGGACCAACCGACCATCACAAAACCTTTTTAGAACTAGTGTTAAAAACACTATGGCTCTTTCAGGTTTTCCAGAAACTCCTCTACCTCTCTCCACATTGAGTCCCTGTGCCGCTCTACAACCTCCACCAGAATCTTAATGCTGTTCCTACGGAAGGAGGATTGATGCGGTATGGTCGCCACCTTCATGTGATACCTTATTGCCCTTTGGTACTCCCTTCGATCGCACTTTGAATATTTTGCGTAGTTGTTGTAAAGCAGCTGTTTCTCTGCAGGTTCCATCTCACTTTTTAGCAGTTCCTGGTAGATTTGCTCAGCTTCATCCTTGCTGTGATTGGACTTTGCGTGTATATTCGCGAGGTCTACTTTTTTCATAAGTGAACAATGAGGGTATAGAAAAATCACCTCCTTAAGGAGACTGATGGCTCTGTCCAGCGTCCTCTGATCTGGTCGACTGTAGATAGAATAAATCAACCATTTATAGTAGAGTGCGGCACATCTCTTCAAATAGCGCTCATCTGGATGATGTTGCAGAGCCTCCTCTGCCAGATCAACGGCCTCATCAATTGATAGATGGTTTCTATAAATCCTTAGTAACCCTTTTAGACCACTGTAGCTACTGACGGGGTTTCTCAAAACCTTTCTAGCCAACTGGCGTGCTTCATCTTCAATTATTTCCCCTTTCCTAACACGTTCCTCAAGGTAGTAAACTGCAAGGCGCAAGTTCTCCGGATCCTTTTCCTGGGCGAGCCTTATTTTCTCTAAGATGTCATCTTCTAACCATGAGTTGCTGCACAGTACGTGACTGGTGTTCCACTCCACCATGTCTGGCTGCATCTGGATGGCTTTCTGGAAGTATTCTGACACCAGCTCTCGTTTTGTGCCGAACTTCATCAGGGTCCAGGCTTTTTCAGCGTAGAGCTCTGCATGGAGCTCGTCCTCTGATGGAGTTGGGTATTTCTTCTTTATGGCTTCCACCTTTGAAAGGTAAGCCTCGCTCTCTGCTTGGTCTCCCAGGAGGTGGTGCAGCCAAGCCAGGTTCCCGTAATTCACCACCAACCAGGGACCTTCACCTGCCCTTCTCATCTGGCCGAAGGCCTCTGCAGCCTGGAGGAAGAAACTCAGGGCGTCTTCAGTGGAGCCCAGCTTGCACTGAATGAAGCCCCTCAGGTTGTAGATGTGACCCAGCCAGCTGTTTCCATCCTCCGTCCCGATGTCCACCAGCTTGTCCCTTAAATGTAAAAGTTTGTTCTTGCTGTATTCCAGAATCCAGGTAAAGTGGCACTGCAGGGCCTCCAGTTTGGACCCCAAGGTTGTTTCACTCTGATCAGCACTGAATTAAAAATGATAGATATTAAACAGAAGAAATAGAGACAGACAGAGGGTAATGGGGATGAGTTAACAAAATGGTTGTCACAATGTGTATTCTAGATTTGAACTAAGGTACAAAAAGTCTTCTTACAAAACACTGCACTTTGCTTCCTCCATCAGACACACACACACCAAAGCATGACATCTGTTGCAATCAATGGGACAGTAAAATGAAAACCATATTTGGAATGGCAACCCGCACAACCAGTCTGAGCCTCAGCACTACAAATGGACCTCAGGAGATGTAGGCGACGTCACTTCTTTGTTGCTAGTAGCAACGGTCTGCTCGGACCACACCCATCTTTGAACTCCGCCTTCATTTTTATCTTAACTACCAAAATGGGCCACGAGCGTAAAAAGTATCCAGAAAGAGGATAACGGCCCCCTTGCCCCGATTCTTTGACCACGGACATCATTGAACTCAACCTTAATTTGGATCTAAGTGACACATCTGTTATGGGGACGCATCTTAGAGTTACGAAGCTATCGTAGTTACAAAATCTGCCATGGACAGAGAAAATTAAACAATGCGGTCTCCAGGATTACATTTTGCCCCAATGACACAAACATGGACTCAAAATGTAAAATATGTACAAAAGGTACATTTGCAACTGGTTATGAAATGTAGAAGTAATGTCCAACTTCTGCTTTCTGATAGTGTTGCGCACGCGGCCTTAAATGTTGACGATGATGGGAAAGCCAATCGTGGAGGCGGGGCTATTGCATATGGAGTCTGGGGTTATGTGGTAACACGCTTTACTTTTGTTTCCCAGTAATGGAAACCTACAGCCTCATCTGCTCAAACTAAAACGTGACTCGTCGAGTTTTGTGATTCTTTTTTTCTCTTAAGGGAGCAGTGCTGAATATTAAGAAATGGAATACAATAGGAATATATTTTTTTTCATTAGTGTTTGATGGCCTGGCATTGAGAATGGTTTTATTTAGCTTATAAAAAGCCTTTTAAATCTAATCAAGGAATGGCTCGTTTCCACCATCTTGCACTGCTACGTTTGTGACGCAGCTCAGAATGGACAGTGGCTCTGAGTTCTTCCAACTACGAACACACACAGTAACAAACGCACATACGATGTGTCAGTGAGCAGAGTTGTTTGGGACGGGGCCAGGTGGAGACGACTATTTGACTGCAACTCTGCTCTTTACCGCATTAAAACTTTCACAAGCAAAAGGCCAATACTTTACTAATAAATCTGTTTAACAAACATGTAAACAAAAGTGAAACCTCATTCAATGTGCAGCTGTCATCTACCACTCTGCGTCTACATACACATTCTCTACTGGCTGACACACACAGAGCAGCAAGTATATATACTTTTGAGTATAGGACTCCCTGCTAGAGAAAACATGTGTTGTGTTTTTGTGCTGCTACGATGGTGACCAGCATCCAATGTAAAGAAACACAGCCAAGCTAGCCGACACTAAGCCGCAATACGGCCGAGTCCGCTGGCTACCTGGGGGGTTTGTGTGCTCATAAAAACCAAATTTATTAATGATACGTGGGGCTTGTTTTTGTAACAAGAGTGTTTATGAGTGTTTTATAGGTTGACCCCCATACCTTCACACAATATAACACAGTATGATATACACAGAAGTGATAGTGATTTTGTATCGCTATTGAGTTGTACCATTAATAAAAATCTGTATATTGTATTCATGTTACGTTATGATTGATCCCTATGCAAAGGAATTTATTCTCAAAAACTCCTTTAATTTTATCTTGACAGATTTTTAATTCAATATCTGATTCCAATTCTTTTTGATTTCCCCCGCAAAGAATGCGTGGTTACGTCCTTGATCATGCAACACTGGCTTGAGTATTCGAAACCAAACATGCCAGATCTGCCCAACCTTCTCATATTATTAGAATGTCAAGATGTCACGTGTATTATTTGAAACACAGTCACAAGTTTGTACCTGCATCATGACGCTATGCTGCCTGCAGCGGTTTGGTGTTCCTAAAGATAATAAGAAAAATCGCATTTTCACAATCTCTCATTTGTCGCTTATGAGCTTGTCATTACCAGTATTTTATTGTAAAAAGAGATGTCATATTCGCTTTAGAAAGATACATTCTCACATGCTCAACTACTTTAGTGTGGCTGGTTCTTGCTGTTGCTGCTTCGGCTTCTCTGGTGTAAGTCCAACAGGTAACAGACTGGGCGGGGCTACTGTTGGGATTAAAGCCATTTGCTGAAGGCTGTAAAGGGAACGTGAACACCCCCAGACACAAAGAGGCCTGCTTCTGGCAAACAAAGCCACAGGCTGAATTCCAATAGTCCTTTTGGCTTCAAAGGTTCCTCACTGAGTGAAATAAGATGGAAGTAGTGTAAGTGGACGTAATAGGAGCTGTTTGAATTCTCTAATGTTAAGGAAAGGAGCTTCAATGCTTCCCTGAACCTGGTTGTTTATGTTGTCTGCATGACTCAGCTTGTTTCTGTTAGTTATTAAATCATTTTTCATTTTAAACTTAAGCCGGCTGGTTCTTTTTACTTTGCACCACCAGCTGGAGGTGAAGGGAATAGTGTTCTTAGAGAGGTTCAATCCCCACAGTAGGGAGAGGAAAGTATACGTGAAGAAGGACATCTTAAAAGAGAAACAGACAAACCGACAAAGGAAGCCAAATGAGTGGACGAGTGAGGAATGAAGGCAATGGGACAGTGGGAGGAAGGAATGGATAAAAAAGAGGCATAAGAATCGACAAAATATAATATAATGGCAAGACAAAAACAAAGGCTGAAATAAAACCAGAGGTGAACAGAGTATGAAATGAATATTATTAAAGAAAGGTAGTAGGAAGTTTGAGGATGGAAGAAAAAGGTGTGGCAGGCAAGAAAAATTAAGGATTAACCGGGTAGGAAGTAGGAGTCAAGTAAGTAAGAAAGGAAAGTAGTGAAATTGTCACGGTGTGGTTCACTTCCTGTCTTATTTTGTAGTTTTCTGCCACTCGTGTCCCCGGGTAACTTCACTTCCTGCCTTGTCTCGTCATCCCCTGTGTTCGTCTAATAGTTTCCACCTGTGTCCAATCACCTGCACCTCCCTTGTGTATTTAAGCCATGTGTCTCTTGTGTCACTTGTCGCGTCATTGTCTTTCGTCTCACATGTTGCCTGCTGGTTTTCCTCCCGGTTCCTGTGTTTTTGACCCTTTTGACTATTAAAGTCTTTTGTTTCCCGCAAGTCTGCGTCTGAGTCCTGCCTTCCACCCCCAACCCTGACAGAATGACGCGACCTGACAGAATGACGCGACCAAAGAAGGGCTCAGCAGACCCGCTGCCAGACTACGGTCCGGACTACCTGGACGTAAGGAGTCCCTTCTGGCAGCGGAAAACAAACTGTGTTTTTGGTCCCAGGAGCTATCAGCTCGCCTGCCTCGAGCTCCGGGACCTCCTTAACCCTAGGAGGAGCAAGCGGAAGAAGCGATCTCCCGTTCCCGCTGGGCCGCCGCAGCGATCTCCCGTTCCCGCTGGGCCGCCGCAGCGATCTCCCGTTCCCGCTGGGCCGCCGCAGCGATCTCCCGTTCCCGCTGGGCCGCCGCAGCGATCTCCCGTTCCCGCTGGGCCGCCGCAGCGATCTCCCGTTCCCGCTGGGCCGCCGCAGCGATCTCCCGTTCCCGCTGGGCCGCCCCGACTCTCACCCATGCCCCCGACCCGACCAGTTCCGGCCCCACGCTCCATGCCCCCGACCCGACCAGTACCGGCCCCACGCTCCATGCCCCCGACCCGACCAGTACCGGCCCCACGCTCCATGCCCCCGACCCGACCAGTACCGGCCCCACGCTCCATGCCCCCGACCCGGCCAGTCCCCGCTCCGAGACTCATGACCCCGACGCCCCCAGTCCCCGCTCCGAGACTCAGGCTCCCTCCCTCCCATCCCATGGTCCTCTCCCACCCTCCCGTTGGTGATTTGAGGGCCGTCTGGGATCCGGCCCTTGAGGGGGGGGCTATGGGGTGGGTTATGGGGGGGGCTGAGCCGCCGCAGACCACGGAGTTGTTCCGTGTCCCCGAGCTGGAGCAGACAGCGGAGTTGTTCCGTGTCCCCGAGCTGGAGCAGACAGCGGAGTTGTTCCGTGTCCCCGAGCTGGAGCAGACAGCGGAGTTGTTCCGTGTCCCCGAGCTGGAGCAGACTGCGGAGTTGTTCCGTGTCCCCGAGCTGGAGCAGACTGCGGAGTTGTTCCGTGTCCCCGAGCTGGAGCAGACTGCGGAGTTGTTCCGTGTCCCCGAGCTGGAGCAGACTGCGGAGTTGTTCCGTGTCCCCGAGCTGGACCTCACTGCGGAGTTGTTCCGTGTCCCCGAGCTGGACCTCACTGCGGAGTTGTTCCGTGTCCCCGAGCTGGAGCAGACTGCGGAGTTGTTCCGTGTCCCCGAGCTGGAGCAGACTGCGGAGGTGTTCCGTGTCCCCGAGCTGGAGCAGACTGCGGAGGTGTTCCGTGTCCCCGAGCTGGAGCAGACTGCGGAGGTGTTCCGTGTCCCCGAGCTGGAGCAGACTGCGGAGGTGTTCCGTGTCCCCGAGCTGGACCTCACTGCGGAGGTTTCCCGTGTCCCCGAGCTGGACCTCACTGCGGAGGTTTCCCGTGTCCCCGAAGCTTGCCGACGACGACGACTACTAACCCGGACGTTTCCCGTGTCCCCGAGCTGCCGACGACGACGACTACTAACCCGGACGTTTCCCGTGTCCCCGAGCTGCCGACGACGACGACTACTAACCCGGACGTTTCCCGTGTCCCCGAGCTGCCGACGACGACGACTACTAACCCGGACGTTTCCCGTGTCCCCGAGCTGCCGACGACGACTACTAACCCGGACGTTTCCCGTTTCTCAGAGCCTGCCATTCCTGAGACGTTCCGTGCCCTGTGGTCACCGCTCCGGAACCGGCGAAAGGACCGCCCGCCGGGCCGACCCCCAGAGGCTCCCCGCTCGTCTGGCCGCCCGCCGGGCCGACCCCCAGAGGCTCCCCGCTCGTCTGGCCGCCCGCCAGGCCGCCCGCCAGAGTTTCCAGGGTGGTCCGACCAACGTCTCTGGTTTCCCTCCCCACCCACCCCTTGTTCGCTCTAGTGTTGGCCGTCTGGAATTCGGCCCTTAAGGGGGGGGTACTGTCACGGTGTGGTTCACTTCCTGTCTTATTTTGTAGTTTTCTGCCACTCGTGTCCCCGGGTAACTTCACTTCCTGCCTTGTCTCGTCATCCCCTGTGTTCGTCTAATAGTTTCCACCTGTGTCCAATCACCTGCACCTCCCTTGTGTATTTAAGCCATGTGTCTCTTGTGTCACTTGTCGCGTCATTGTCTTTCGTCTCACATGTTGCCTGCTGGTTTTCCTCCCGGTTCCTGTGTTTTTGACCCTTTTGACTATTAAAGTCTTTTGTTTCCCGCAAGTCTGCGTCTGAGTCCTGCCTTCCACCCCCAACCCTGACAGAAATGGTGTGAGTCAAGACAAATGGAGTAAGAAAAAATACAATTTAAAGAAAACAACTGATAAGTAATACTTGTTAAGAATAAGTTAAACATTTTTTCTTGATTCCCTTTAATAGTGTCTGAAAAAACAGAATAAATGAAACATTGGAGAGATCAACGAAGTAAAGACAGAAATTTGGGAATATAGCAAGGAACTACTAATGAACTTAATGACAATATGTTTGGGCTCTAGGACACAATGATACAATATTAAATCAATAAAATAGAAACAGCTACTCACCTCATCATTCAGCTGTTTCAACAAGTTAGTGTGGCTGGTTCTTGCCGTTGATGCTGCTTCGGCTTCTCTGGTGTAAGTGATACGATTTTGGCCACGCAGCTTTATAGGTTCACCGACCCGTTGTAGCGTGTAGTTCAGGTTTTCAGGTTTTATAGGTTGGACTCAAAATGTAAAATATGTACAAAAGGTACATTTGTAACTGGTTATGAAATGTAGAAGTAATGTCCAACTTCTGCTTTCTGATAGTGTTGCGCACGCGGCCTTAAATGTTGACGATGATGGGAAAGCCAATCGTGGAGGCGGGGCTATTGCATATGGAGTCTGGGGTTATGTGGTAACACGCTTTACTTTTGTTTCCCAGTAATGGAAACCTACAGCCTCATCTGCTCAAACTAAAACGTGACTCGTCAAGTTTTGTGATTCTTTTTTTCTCTTAAGGGAGCAGTGCTGAATATTAAGAAATGGAATACAATAGGAATATATTTTTTTTCATTAGTGTTTAATGGCCTGGCATTGAGAATGGTTTCATTTAGCTTATAAAAAGCCTTTTAAATCTAATCAAGGAATGGCTCGTTTCCACCATCTTGCACTGCTACGTTTGTGACGCAGCTCAGAATGGACAGTGGCTCTGAGTTCTTCCAACTACGAACACACACAGTAACAAACGCACATACGATGTGTCAGTGAGCAGAGTTGTTTGGGACGGGGCCAGGTGGAGACGACTATTTGACTGCAACTCTGCTCTTTACCGCATTAAAACTTTCACAAGCAAAAGGCCAATACTTTACTAATAAATCTGCTTAACAAACATGTAAACAAAAGTGAAACCTCATTCAATGTGCAGCTGTCATCTACCACTCTGCGTCTACATACACATTCTCTACTGGCTGACACACACAGAGCAGCAAGTATATATACTTTTGAGTATAGGACTCCCTGCTAGAGAAAACATGTGTTGTGTTTTTGTGCTGCTACGATGGTGACCAGCATCCAATGTAAAGAAACACAGCCAAGCTAGCCGACACTAAGCCGCAATACGGCCGAGTCCGCTGGCTACCTGGGGGGTTTGTGTGCTCATAAAAACCAAATTTATTAATGATACGTGGGGCTTGTTTTTGTAACAAGAGTGTTTATGAGTGTCAATATCCGATTCCAATTCTTTTTGATTTCCAAAGAGCATGAATGTTATTTTCTTTATGTTAAGACATGATGCATTAACATCAAACCAAGACTTGATCATGAGACACGACCCCCCCAAAGAATGCGTGGTTACATCCTTGATCATGCAACACATGGCTTGAGTATTCGGAACCAAACATGCCAGATCTGCCCAACCTTCTCATATTATTAGAATGTCAAGATGTCACGTGTATTATTTTAAACACAGTCACAAGTTTGTAGATTCCTGACCAGGCAGTCCGACGTGTTTCGGTAAGGACTATTACCATGGCTACCTGGAGACACCTGCATCATGACGCTATGCTGCCTGCAGCGGTTTGGTGTTCCTAAAGATAATAATAAAAATCGCATTTTCACAATCGCTCATTTGTCGCTTATGAGCTTGTCATTACCAAGTGCCTTCATCATTTCAAGTATTTGATTGTAAAAAGAGGTGTCATATTCACTTTACAAAGATACATTCTCACATGCTCAACTACTTTAGTGTGGCTGGTTCTTGCTGTTGATGCTGCATTGGCTTCTCTGGTGTAAGTGATACGATTTTGGCCACGCAGCTTCATATGTTCACAGACCTGTTGAAGCGGATAGTTGAGGAGCGGCACTTTAACAAAAGCTCCTCGGCTTTTGTTTCTCAGTAATGGAAGCCTACAAACACGTATGATTACAATCCTAAAACATAAGGCATCAAAAGTTGAGACTATATTTTCTCACACTCTATAAATAGAAGAAACAACAAGATTTTAAGAACTTTTATTTTTCCCTGTGGCGCAATTTGTTATTGAAGTACACAAGAGCCAAACAAAAACATCCATCAGACCTTTGAAAATTAAACCCTTAGTTGGCTCAGCGACCTGAAAAGATGATTAAACATTCAAATAAAAAAAATAAATGTAATAAAAATGAATAAGCCACATAATTTAATCCTAAATCAATTATTTTACAGGAAGGTGCTCTACCTGCAAAATCATCTCAAAATGTAAAAACCTAAATGGTTAATGCACAGATCTACTGTGTAGGAGGTCTTTTTAGCTCTCTTATAGTTAGCAGGTTTGGGATATCTCCTTTTAGTTGTATATTCATGCAGCCTTCTGGAAACTACAGAATCTTTCCTATTCGTTCTATCTAATCTCATCAGTTCAGGAGTTTTACAAAGGTCTTAAATACAACTAGACAGACTTCAACTTAGAGGTTTTCGTTTTTCTTTGGTTTTTATTTAAAATGACCTTCCTTGTTTGTATGTTGTTATGGTGATAGCACAGATTCAAGACTGGACTGGAGTTTCAATACCAAATACTTTATTGAAGAACATAAGCCATAAATTACTGAATACTGTCTAAACACAAAGAGCCCAATAATACATGTTTTTCAGCCTCAATCTTTTTGTTACAACCCTTCCAGAGGAAAAAATCTAATACGAGGTTATTTTCATGAAGTTCTGGCCTTCATCGATCCCTTTGGGATCTGTGCAAAACTAAAACATATGTTTCTGTATGTTAAGAAGGAACTTCACCCTCTGACCTGACATTTGTCAGAAAAAAAAGACCCTAATTCTTCATCTTTTTTGTGTGTTTATGGAAGTAGATCGATTCCTGCGGAGAAGATTGTCACCTACAACTTGTGATTGATGCTCCAGGTATTTTATTTAAAAGTTACATTTAGTTGAAATAGCACATATTACAGCTCATTCAGTTTGCATAATTTATCTTTTGGAAAATGATAAAATTAAATAGATATGCTCCAATGATTTTGTCAATAAAGAAATGATTCATCTTAACTTTCATATATGGTTCAGCCTTTCATACAAATTGCTAGATCTTTTATATTGTCTTCGATTAACTGGACTGTAGTGTAATGTTTTAAAGATGGGGTAACTGCTCGATGAATAGTGTAATTTTCATAGACAAGCAAAGACAAAACCCAACAATATTACACGTATGGGTTGGGTGATACTGCCGTTTGGACCAACCGACCATCACAAAACCTTTTTAGAACTAGTGTTAAAAACACTATGGCTCTTTCAGGTTTTCCAGAAACTCCTCTACCTCTCTCCACATTGAGTCCCTGTGCCGCTCTACAACCTCCACCAGAATCTTAATGCTGTTCCTACGGAAGGAGGATTGATGCGGTATGGTCGCCACCTTCATGTGATACCTTATTGCCCTTTGGTACTCCCTTCGATCGCACTTTGAATATTTTGCGTAGTTGTTGTAAAGCAGCTGTTTCTCTGCAGGTTCCATCTCACTTTTTAGCAGTTCCTGGTAGATTTGCTCAGCTTCATCCTTGCTGTGATTGGACTTTGCGTGTATATTTGCGAGGTCTACTTTCTTCATAAGCGAACAATGAGGGTATAGAAAAATCACCTCCTTAAGGAGACTGATGGCTCTGTCCAGCGTCCTCTGCTCTGGTCGACTGTGGCTAGAATAAATCAACCTATTATAGTAGAGTGCGGCACATCTCTTCAAATAGCGCTCATCTGGATGATGTTGCAGAGCCTCCTCTGCCAGATCAACGGCCTCATCAATTGATAGATGGTTTCTATAAATCCTTAGTAACCCTTTTAGACCACTGTAGCTACTGACGGGGTTTCTCAAAACCTTTCTAGCCAACTGGCGTGCTTCATCTTCAATTATTTCCCCTTTCCTAACACGTTCCTCAAGGTAGTAAACTGCAAGGCGCAAGTTCTCCGGATCCTGTTCCTGGGCGAGCCTTATTTTCTCTAAGATGTCATCTTCTAACCATGAGTTGCTGCACAGTACGTGACTGGTGTTCCACTCCACCATGTCTGGCTGCATCTGGATGGCTTTCTGGAAGTATTCTGACACCAGCTCTCCTTTTGTGCCGAAATTCATCAGGGTCCAGGCTTTTTCAGCGTAGAGCTCTGCATGGAGCTCGTCCTCCGATGGAGTTGGGTATTTCTTTTTTATTGCTTCAACCTTTGAAAGGTAAGCCTCGCTCTCTGCTTGGTCTCCCAGGAGGTGGTGCAGCCAAGCCAGGTTCCCGTAATTCACCACCAACCAGGGACCTTCACCTGCCCTTCTCATCTGGCCGAAGGCCTCTGCAGCCTGGAGGAAGAAACTCAGGGCGTCTTCAGTGGAGCCCAGCTTGCACTGAATGAAGCCCCTCAGGTTGTAGATGTGACCCAGCCAGCTGTTTCCTTCCTCCGTGCCGATGTCCACCAGCTTGTCCCTTAAATGTAAAAGTTTGTTCTTGCTGTATTCCAGAATCCAGGTAAAGTGGCACTGCAGGGCCTCCAGTTTGGACCCCAAGGTTGTTTCACTCTGATCAGCACTGAATTAAAAATGATAGATATTAAACAGAAGAAATAGAGACAGACAGAGGGTAATGGGGATGAGTTAACAAAATGGTTGTCACAATGTGTATTCTAGATTTGAACTAAGGTACTAAAAGTCTTCTTACAAAACACTGCACTTTGCTTCCTCCATCAGACACACACACACACCAAAGCATGACATCTGTTGCAATCAATGGGACAGTAAAATGAAAACCATATTTGGAATGGCAACCCGCACAACCAGTCTGAGCCTCAGCACTACAAATGGACCTCAGGAGATGTAGGCGACGTCACTTCTTTGTTGCTAGTAGCAACGGTCTGCTCGGACCACACCCATCTTTGAACTCCGCCTTCATTTTTATCTTAACTACCAAAATGGGCCACGAGCGTAAAAAGTATCCAGAAAGAGGATAACGGCCCCCTTGCCCCGATTCTTTGACCACGGACATCATTGAACTCAACCTTAATTTTGATCTAAGTGACACATCTGTTATGGGAACGCATCTTAGAGTTACGAAGCTATCGTAGTTACAAAATCTGCCATGGACAGAGAAAATTAAACAATGCGGTCTCCAGGATTACATTTTGCCCCAATGACACAAACATGGACTCAAAATGTAAAATATGTGCAAAAGGTACATTTGCAACTGGTTATGAAATGTAGAAGTAATGTCCAACTTCTGCTTTCTGATAGTGTTGCGCACGCGGCCTTAAATGTTGACGATGATGGGAAAGCCAATCGTGGAGGCGGGGCTATTGCATATGGAGTCTGGGGTTATGTGGTAACACGCTTTACTTTTGTTTCCCAGTAATGGAAACCTACAGCCTCATCTGCTCAAACTAAAACATGACTCGTCAAGTTTTGTGACTCTTTTTTTCTCTTAAGGGAGCAGTGCTGAATATTAAGAAATGGAATACAATAGGAATATATTTTTTTTCATTAGTGTTTAATGGCCTTAGCTTATAAAAAGCCTTTTAAATCTAATCAAGGAATGGCTCGTTTCCACCATCTTGCACTGCTACGTTTGTGACGCAGCTCAGAATGGACAGTGGCTCTGAGTTCTTCCAACTACGAACACACACAGTAACAAACGCACATACGATGTGTCAGTGAGCAGAGTTGTTTGGGACGGGGCCAGGTGAAGACGACTATTTGACTGCAACTCTGCTCTTTACCGCATTAAAACTTTCACAAGCAAAAGGCCAATACTTTACTAATACATCTGTTTAACAACCATGTAAACAAAAGTGAAACCTCATTCAATGGGCAGCTGTCATCTACCACTCTGCGTCTACATACACATTCTCTACTGGCTGACACACACAGAGCAGTATATATACACGGTATATATACAAAGTATATATACTTTGTATATATACTTTTGAGTATAGGACTCCCTGCTAGAAAAAATAAGGGCTTGTGTTTTTGTGCTGCTACGCTGGTGACCAGCATCCAATGTAAAGAAATGTAAAAATTAACTGTAAATGTGCCAAGAAACTGACCTGACTTGAACTGACTTGAGTGCAAAAAAATAGGATGAAAGGCAGCAGCTGGCTTGGTTTCCATCTGGAGGGAATCCTTTTGCCTTTAGCAGCCTGGAGTGCATGACAAAACGTCAACATTAGCCTCTAGTTTCACACAGAACAGCGGCTGCTTGGAACAAGTCCTATGGTTGTGCTGACTCACTTGAGGACAGTTATCACGCTTCAAATAGCTCGCTTCAGGCCCCGAATTCTCCATCACCAGGACTGTCACTCAGCGTCACTTTAACAATGTGGCAATGCAGCATACTGTTGCAGCTGTAGGAGGTGCATTTTCAAGAGGGGACCACAGGGTGTCAGTGGTTGTTCGATGCTGGTTTAGTTTCCTGACTAGCGAAGGGGAGGCAACGCTTTTATGGATTTGCCATGCACATGAAGAGAAACAGCATATATTTAAGTCAGGATTAAGTACCTTTTAGCTCAATTTAGAGTAGAGAGAACCCTCAGGCAGGTGACTAGAACAACAAAACTACACGTATCATGTACATTTTAAACGTATAGTAATGCACTAATGATCAAAAACACATACACACACACAGCAATGTGATATATGACTTGAGTGCAAACAAATAGAGTGAAACAGAGCAGCTGGCTTGGGTACATCTGGAGGGACGCCTCTTGCCTTTAGCCACCTGGAGTTCAGCCCAGAGAGTGAATAAGTGTGCTTCAGATCACAGGACATTGGCTGGCTGCTCATTACTGAACACAATGCATTAAATCCTCGACTGTAAATAATATGAGAACTGCTGTGCAGGGCTCAGCGTTACTTACAGGAATGGGCAGCCATTTTTCTTTTCGCCCCCCCTGCTTCCTTTCTCCCTTCATCAGTCTGGAGCTCATTTTTACACATGCTATGTAATTATTCTACCCCAGTTGCTCCAGGGGTGAGAGAACGAGGAGAGAAGAAGAGAAACCGAAAGAGTGAGCGAGAGGGCTCATTCCTCAAAAGCAAAGGCCCACAATTTATCCCTGCCCCCCCGTCCCCACACCGTCCCCACCCCGTCCACCCCCCCGTCTCCATCCAGCCTCCAATGTGCTCCAGGAGACAGAGGCGGAGGGAAATCACAGCGTTATTTCCACTGCTGCTTCACAGAAACGCCATATCAGCAGCTTTGCTGGAGACAAAATCAAGGCAGGGAATAAGAACATATGATCACAGCGCGTCGAGTGAGTTTAGTATATCTGTGATCATTTCCCTTCATTTCTGGTTTTGCACATGATGGGATTTTGTAGGAGCAGAAGTAGCAGCAAGTAGAAGAGCTCTCTTCACACACAAAGGTCTGTGGTTTCACTCATTGGTTTATTATATGGGAGCTTTCATCCACATACTTTCTTTAGACACCGAGCAGACTGAACAATGAGCTTCATAAAGGTATTACAGTTCCAATACAAAACATCTGTGTGTCCCTGAAAAAATAGATAAATATATTATAGATAATTTAAGGAACTGTATGGACTACAGAAATGCATTAAACTTGCTTTATATAACTGTAATAAACAATGATCTGATGAAAAAAATAGAAAAAGAATGAGGGGCATGTTCAAATAAAAGGTCTAATGATCGTTTGGTATCAGATATCAACAAACTTGTAAAAAAGGCTGTTAGTTCCTTCCTCTTGTTCCTCAAACAGGCGGTTAAAGTGTTCATCTAAAATCCTCAATAAAACAGTTCTCAGTTTTAGTGATTTAGATAGACTTGGTGCTTGAAAAGCAGTCTCACTCCCTTGGCTTTGTGAGATTTCATCAACATTGTCTTGAGAAATCAATATTTTTAACGCGTTTGTTTTCTATGCATAAGACCTGAAACAGCCTCACACGCACAAAAACGTATGTTTTTGCCCCGTGTTGCTATATAACCGAGGCATCATTGCGATGCCACTTTGAATTCTTCTGTACGAGCCTTCTCTGGATCCTCAAATGCAATTAGATTCTCATGTTAATCCAATCGCCAGCAGCGATTGTCTGTCTGTTTATTCGGCCATCTGCCTGGCTGCCTAGATCTCAGCTGCAGACATGACGGGCAGTTAACACACGTACAGTGCCGCAGAACGGATGTACCTCACTGTAAACACGGCAGACAAACAGGAGGTGACACAGGAATAAGACATCACCGGGGATTGAGTGTGCAGGAGCAAACTAAATGTGCTGTCAGAAAAGAGGCGTCTTCCTCCTCCAAGGAGTTACAGAGGGAGCGTGCAGGCTGTCGTGATGCTCACCATGGCGACCTCACAGGACAGGCTGCTTGTTTTCATTCTCCTCATCTCTCTGTGCCCTCATGCATCTCTTGCTTCTACCTTTAGAGCCAACTCTATATTATGCATTACCTTAAGCTTTTTGACTTTTTGGGTTTTTTGTTTCACTTTGATTGACCTTTTTTGGATGCAAGTGACAAGAAAGCAAATGCATTAGTACTACTATTACTAAGTAATGTGACAATTACAGAGATGTAGCTTCTTCTAAAGGTCAGAGGTCAGGTTTTGGAATATGTATTTTGCTCATGTAGTCTTGTTAAAAAAAACTGTGTGAATAAAAAAAGAACCTAAAATGTTTTTGAGTTACCATCCTGTGTTTGTATTCCTTTTTTTAATTGAGGAAATGTTCCAAATACACTTTTCAATGTCAAAATGTTTGCCGACTTATCCTCCATTTGCTGATTCGAGGCAACTCCCTCTCTTTCATTCGGGCAACTTTATACCCGCAGAATACGCCCTGTGCATAACAGTCGACCCAGAGGCAGGATGTCTCCGCTATGAAGTGCTCTCACTGATGTAATACTTCATAAAAACACAAGGGCCTCTCTGAATTTGAATTTAGTAACATCTCAACTCTACTCTGGCTTCTTTTTTCCGGTTTCTGACTCGGCGGCGAGAAGGAAAGTAGGAAACATGCAAATCTGTGTTACCATGACTATTCTGAATCATCTGATGCACTGATTAACTCTCTCTCTTTAGCTCTTGGAATAATGCCCAAGCCATCACTAGCAGACAACACCACGGAGTTGCATAAGCAGCTCCAGAGTGCTCCTTTTTATTGAACACAGGTCTCTCTGTGATCTGTTCGGTTCGTCCTGGATGCGTGTAGCGCTCACTGGCAAGGGGTGAAGAGGAGGCTGGAAATGCTACATGGACCCGAGAGCCATCTTGCGTTGGAGGGATGCTCATGTAGAGCTGAATGAAGCTGAACCGCTCACAGCTTCTGAGAAGTGATGCTTCACACAAAGGGTTGCCGTGGATACCTACTCTGAGGGCTTTACTCCATCACATCCTGCTCCAACAACATGTTATTGCTATGAATGACATCCATGACACAGTTATTAGGTGTATTTTGGGGATGAATATATTTATTCTCCCAGTTTGGAACCAATATGTGCGTGTGTGGGACAAACTGCACACGCACACACTGACACACAAACAATCCTCTTTTCCCTTTCCCAGCTCCGTGTGCTCTAAATATCTTGGCTGTAGCTGCTGGATGCCAGCAGGGGGTGGAAGGTGTTGCTAGGGGGTGAGAGGTGCCGGCTGTTGGGCGGCAGGGCGGTTGATGGGGTTTTGGCAGTTACATCTGCCCCTGTGGGCTCCATGGCAATGAGTGACAGTGAGAAAGAAGCACCTTGGAAACCGGGGTCGGGGGTTAGACAGTTAGCATGTTGTTCACGGAGCCCGCGGGAATACATAATCGTGTTACTGTCAGAGGAAGCAGAGAAACACATCCGCAGATGGCTGCGGGGTTGTGAACTGAAACTCTGTCTGGGATCCGGGAGTCGTTATTATTTTATAGATTCTAGTGTACATTTATCTTTTAAATAGAGTTAAATAAAGATATAGTTCGTACAAAAGAATAACTCTATTTTTCTTTCACTGTCCTCAGGATAAAAGCTTCAGGTCAAATTATGGTTAATAGGAAGGAGTATGGTATCACGTCGATACACTTCTCCAACTTTCAAGCGCCTTTTTTTCCTTCTTGCCCCATATGGGGGCTTCTGGTTCCTGTGTTGGCGTTGATGGTTGGAATCAGGTCCAGAAATTTTACAGTATTTTGCAGAGTTGCAGGGTTTGGAAAGGTTTATGTCTTGTATGTCTTGGTCAAGATTTTTTTTTTTATCCTTAAATACCTACTAGGGTGGGTTATGTATTCTATTGTATTTTATTCGATTCGATTCAACAGTAATCAATAAATCAAACGCTGCCGCAGAAGTGAGTCAATAGGCTTGTCCAATCATTCGTTCTCCGCTGACGTGATGATTGGATGGTCTACATGCATGTGTAGAAATCCAGGTAAGTACCCTGGATTTCTACATTTGTGTATTTTAGCAGTGACTTCATTGCTTATCACCGGTGTCTGCTGCAAGCTGCTAGCTTATAACCTGCGAGTACTAACAGTAGCCATGTTTGTCGTTTACGTTGATGGAAAGAATTTTTGACAAACGGCTTTGGAGGGAGGCCTGAAGAGACAGTCAGTGTTGCCACCGTAGCAACTTTCTTGCCAGATTTAGTGACTATAGGAGTTCTAGCTAATATCATTGGAAAAGTCTTGGCAACACTGGGAAGGATTTTCAGATTTTTGATTTAGCGTTGTGCTACTTCTGCGGGTTTCTCCAGGTTACCGCCTTTAAACAAGTGTCTGAGTCTTTTTGTATACCAGCCTTTACTAGTGTTGTTTATACATTTTTGTCAGCCTCAAATGTTCACACATGTTGCACTTTCAGCTGTCCGATAACGTGTTGACCTGTCCAGCTTCTCATCTTTGTGAAATGGTGTCACTTGCACACAATGTCTCCCTGGGGATGATTTAGGCGTCATACATATCCACCTCATTTATTTTGCAAGCCTTGGGATTGCAAACCGATTATGACTGCTCCCTGTGTGTGTGTGTGTGTGTGTGTGTGTGTGTGTGTGTGTGTGTGTGTGTGTGTGTGTGTGTGTGTATGTGTGCGCGAGAGTTCTGTTCGACAGATTACCCTTAAACTCTTCTTCTTCAGAAACAAAACAACCTGAGGAAACACTGTGCACCATCAGCCCGTCTCATCTCCTGGGCATTTACTGTAGCCCACAGCGACTGACTCATCAAGCCGTCCTTCCTCTGTAAAGTTAAAGCACCCGCTGGGACGACTTACGGCCATCATTTCCTTCAGCATTTGTTTAATTGTTTTGTGCATTCTGTGGCCTCCCCCGCACACCACTTTATCAGTCCACAGCCAACGTTAGAAATGAAAAACATTCCCAGATTTACGTCTGAGACGTGGGAGTCCTGATTTTTGCTTTCTTCATTTGTATCACAACCTTACCTTTAATAAATACATTTGTTTAATGTTTGGAGTGATTATGATAAAAGAAGTGTATATTCTGTATTTATCACTTTGTGTTTAGCTTTTGTAGTTTGTCAAATTGATAATTATAATAATATAAAATAAAAATTGATCAAACCAGATTTATTTGAGATACCATTTATTATTATTATTAGAGCTAAAGTGCTTGATAGTAAATTAGTTGATCGGCTGAAAATGTATTTGTACCTATTTGGGGAAACCCTCAATCAGTTAAGGACTTT